CGACCGACTAAATAATCATCTTGAGCTACGACTGCAACTGACGCAGACATACATATCAACGCGAATAGTCAAATGTCATTTGTCAATATTTATATTTACATGAGCGAACAGCTGTTGTTTTTTGAATAACCGTTGTAAGGAATGAACACAATTGAAAAATAAATGCTATTCAGTAGCATACGAAAAAACGTAAGCAATAAGACGTAAGTGGTAAGCAAATCAATATTTTAGATTTGCTACTGTTTATGTTATTGTCTACGTTTCCACACTCTTATAAATTCATAATGTCAAACTGTACCCAATTTGAGTAATTTTTAATTATTTTTATATTTTTTGGCTCCTTTTGCTCCTTTGATATCTAACGGTGTACTGTGATTGACCGATACTCTTACTGCTTACATCTTACTATCATTTTTCTATACACTCTGTGCTTAAAGCTGTGTTCTAAAATTCACTGCTAATGTTGAAAATTTATAGTGCACATAACGTAAATCATAAATTTTTAGCGCTGGCAGCGAATTTTGGAACACAACCTAAATTTAAAACTTGGCACCTTACTACATCTTATAAATTTATTTACTATTACTTATAAATTTTTTTGACTCTTGCAAGATCTCAAAAGATAAGTAAGCCTAGGTAACGGAAGCTAAGAAACTTTCAAACACATCAAGAGGAAAATGGCTACTTAAATAACGAGATCCTTCGAAGGCTTGAGTTTTATTTTAGAAAAACGAGAATGGACTTCGTAGAATTTCCGTCGACACATTCGAAGCTCGAAGATCACTGATCACGAAGCGAGTAGCGCGAGAGGGATCGGCGTGTACCTCATGAGTACTCTTACAAATCGGAAGGTTGTCTAATTTTCCGCACGCGAATGATCCGACGGCACTCGAATGCACTTGGACGAATCACAGAAAACGTTAATGAAGGAAGGAACAGGACGGTTCTTGGAGATAGTTAGCGGAAATGATCACGATGAAAAAGATAAATTCAATGGAGATTCTAATCGGTAATTGCGAATTGTTATCAACGTTTGCTCTACATCAAACAAAATGCAATTTTAGTTAAATTAAGTACAATAAACGGAAACGGATGATTAATTATTATTGTATTAAAATATTATTATATTAAAATACGTCTAAAATATTCAATGAAAAAAATGTAATTATTTTAATTATTTAATTAGATATGATATTATAAGTAAATATGTTAACTTTATTAAGAAACTATGTGACCAGATGATCGAAAATTATTTTAATCTGATCAATATACATTTTCAAATTTACATTTTGTTAATAAGTATTTTAATTATATAAACTTAATACAAAATAATTTAATTTTTTGGGGCGTGTGAAAATATATGTTTAAATAAAATTAGCTTATTATCAAATATTTTTCACATTATAAATATTTAATAAGTTTGTAGAAAATTATGCATCTTGCCGCTCATTGATCAATAAGCTGTACGAAGGCGTGACAATCGAAATCAATGTAGACGAGGTGTTCGAGAAAATTATTATCATCGTGCATGCGCATTCTGAAAGCATGATTTTCGCTGCGCCACAACTCATCGACGTGTGATAAAGATTACGTAGGTATAGAATCTAATTACGCCGATAAACATTGTTGCGCCGATACACCTGCTCGTAAATAACATAGAATCAAACGTGTATCAGGTTACATCGTAATACACCCGGACTAGCAGGGAACAGGTCCTTGAGCCCTGTGAAACGTGTACCTGGGACTGCCCATATTCTGCGCGCACTTTCATCAGGGACGAGATGCGGAATCATCATCGTTGATTATGAATACTATTAAATCGAAAGAGATGTAATCAAAATAATTTATAATTCTTAGAAACATTAGGTATTAATTTTTTGAATAATCCTCTCTTACTATGCATATAAATTTTTAAGTATTACCAAAACGGTTATATCACACGGAAAAAAACAATCGTGATTGTATTACCAAGATATGTTTAAGTAAGCAAATTATGATAAACAAAATTTCTGATTATTATAACCGATATTTGCGTTCACAGAATCGAAACATTTAGATAAGTTTGGTAAATGCATATATAATATCTAAGTTTATAATTATTATAATTGTAAGAAAAAAAGCTGTTGGATTAATGTGATACATATGGTTAAAGAAGTGTGTGTGTATTGGTAGAACTATTATAAATAGAATTTCTGACTATCACAATTAAATCGAAAGTTAAATAACGTGATATCTTAATAAAAAATTTTGATATTTTACCAGAATTCGTGCAATCAAATTTATTTAATTATTTTAACCAAATGATCTTAAATTTGATTTATTGGTTATCTAATATAATAAATTAATTATAAAATAATAAATAATTATTTTAACTAAAATTATGATCATACGTATTTCAACAAAGTCTGATTATTATATTCATTTCAGATTAATTAAACTTATTTTTATTCAACACAATTAATCGATTCTTAAATGTCCCTTATGGCAATAATTGATAATTATCAACAATCAATAATTGATAATTACAATCGATATTTTATTTAATGATTGTTCTCTTTACACGAGACGAATATTTATCGATCGACTGGCAAAGATAAAAATATGTTGATCAATTTATAACTTAGTAAGCGAGATTTTTGCGTCATGATTTCAACGTGTGCCGAAAATAACCATGCAATCACGCGGCTACGTGGAATATTTATTCAAACAAGTATTAGAGCTAAGACGTTATCGACTGATACGATAACGGTCTTTTTTCCTTCCTACATACGCAGCACTGTATTTACCATTGCACTTTTATTTAATTTTAGTGCAACTATGTAGAGGAAGAACTTATCATAAGGATAACCTCGATATCAGGTGCTTCAATACGAGGAATATAGACGTCACGTAATTGCCATAGATTAACAACACCGGGCCGGCTAAAGCGATACGCATTTTTATCAATAGTATCAATTGGTTTGTAATTTTTCTGCTTATCCCTCTGATCTAATGCTTATCGCAGCTAATCAACGTACATTAACAACATCTTCAACGTTATTAATTTTCAATTTATCGCGTCGCATATCGCAGTTAGTAGACAGCTGTGTAAAAATTATATTATATTCTCTCTCGACAGAATCTAACGCCTATTCACCTTGATCAATATTTTTTTTTCTTTCTTATCGTGATTACTTGTATTATTAACGCAATTCCTAATGAATTTTATTGACAAGTAACTACACTGTAACGATAATATCATCGTAAAAATGTAACCAATAATAACATAAATTAATGGTTCAAAACATGTGTTTCTTACCGATCCTTACAGATTCTTTGACGAAAACTAGAGTCAGTTTTTAGCGAAACCACTTTTATGGAACACAACATGCGTCTATTACCAACCAGCAACTATTAATTATATGTATTATCTCGCGACACCGGTGCGACTCAAGATTGTATCTATACGTTGCGATTGTTGACGAGCGAAAGAGATACGTTACAAACGACACGTGTATAGCCGTAAATCGCACGTTTATCAGGAACCGGTAATTCTGAATTGAAAGCAGAAACGTGCGGCGCGTGCACCGCGGTTATTAATAAGCCCGCGTGTGTAACTTTGCACCTAATTAATAACGTCCAAAGACGAGGTGAAGAAGGAGCATATATCATAAACGAATAATTGACGCGAGCAACATTGATTGAAATTACACTATCGATGTCTCGGCATGGAAATTACCGTTAAAGCGATTGATGATGACTCAGTTATCTGTTAATGCCCGATACCGATTCTTAAATTCGGTCTTAGCATAGCTAGCACTCAAACAAATTTTACAAATGCGCGTTGACAAGATAGCGGATCGTTAACGAGTATCGATTAGTCATCGTCACGATGACGATGAGAACGTCGTAACATCTTCATAATAATCTACACAATATCTAAGTGTTTTATATATTAACACAAGATTATTGTGCGTTATTTTTAGAAGCAATAAGTAAAATATCGGATGATCATGTATCATTCCAGATGTTGAAAATAGCGTTATAAACAATAGTCTATTCTCGTGAAAAATACGAGCACACGTCGCGATTTTTCCTTTTAAAATAAATTCACCCTCTGAACGTAAATTTAATCCCCCCCAAGTTCAACTGGCACGCGTTCCGTGCACAGAATAGCATGAACGAGATGCATTAATGCAAAATCCGGTCGTTTCAGATAAATCGTTTCTCGCGATTGAAGGGACCACATGACCCGATACAATGCTATGATGCACAATGTTTCCATGAAAAGCGACAATGCAACGCGGGGGCGTCGAGAATGCAACGCAGATTGCATTGGCAGCTGACAAACATAACGTTTTCCATAAAATGCTTGATTCTTGCCGTTGTTTGTAGTGATATATGAACATAATCTACATTTAATCAGATAATTCTGATTGTTTAACATTCGTCCGCAATTCAGTATCGATAATGGCAAACTGTTTAATTGTCGCGCAATATTTTCCGTTAATTGAGTGAAATTGCGATAAAGAGATACTTGCTTATATTGCGATAGAGAGATATTTGCTTATATTCGTCTTCATCGATATGCCATCATTTGCATTTCATAATAAAATAACTGCTTTTGAGAAAGACAAAGAAAGGAAAAAAGAGAGAAAAAGAATAATAAATAAAATTTAATCTACGTTTACTGAAAGAGACAACATCAGTTATTCAGTTCTTATTAATATAACGATTATATGTTACGCTGATTTATATAATGGTCATATTGTTGTTTTAAAAGTTTCCGGAAATAATTAATTGAGAGAATTAATGACATAAATGCATAAAAATTTTATAAACAGCTGCTATATAAATTTAAAATTAATAAACACGTAAGCGAAAAAAATAGAATTAATGGAGTAATTTCTCCCTTTCCTTCTTTCATATTAAGCTTCATAATCACAAATTAACGAATCATGGTGACTCTGAATATATATCTCAGACTCTAACGAAACGTGTGTAATTTAATTGACACTCACCCGAAGCACCTCGAAGAGGTCCCGTAGGACTGCCGCCGGTAGAGACACCCTCGTCTTCGCTGCTGCTAGTACTAGCTTCACTGGGGCTATAGCTTCGCCTGCTAACGTCTCCCCTGGTGATTTTCTGGCCGCTCGTTCCGTTGTTGTTGTCATGCATCCTACCCTGAAGTCTCTCGTGCATAGTCCTCACGCGCGAATGCAGCCTCTGCTGCTGCAAAGAGCCAACAGAGAAGTCGAGCGGCTGATCGATTTCCGATTGCACTTGCGGCTGATGCTTCTGCACCTGACCACATACCGATCCGGCCACCAGACTTTGCGGTTGAGAAACCTGTGCGATCGACGGTACTTGCTGTTGCTGCTGCTGTTCCTGTTGAATACTACTGGGCGGACTCCACCACTGATGCCCGCCTTGAATCGATCTCCAAGCTTCTATGGTGTTATTATTTGTGGGACTTGTCTGCTTCTGCTTCTGTGTCGCCTGCTGGGACTGTTGTTGTTGCTGCTGGGCCATGGCAACTTCGACCAAGTTGTTATTTTCCAGCAGACGCATACTGGGAGTTTGCGTCATCGATACTGGTAGAACGAAGGGGGATAGTCCCACCGACGGTGGGCTGGGTTCCTGACGTTGCCTGTGGGTAGTATGATGGTGGTGCTGATGCTGCTGTTGTGGCTGACGATGATGTTGCTGCTGCTGCTGCTGCTGATGTTGCGGAGAACTCACAGGCACGACCACCGGATGCGGGAACTGCCGGACGGTTCGCGAGGCCTCCGCGACCCACCGGCGCACCGCCTCGCTGTCGAGACCCGCCAGCCCTGCGGACTTTGACTTCGACTGGCCTCCGGGCGATGATAAACCCTTGTCGGGTATCAAGCGGGGCAGCGCAAGGACCCCGGTGCCCGCCACCGCGACCCTGGGTCCCGAAACGCCCCCGTAGGCAGTCAACGCCGCGAGATCCAACGTGGTCACCTGCTGGTTTCTGCTCTCGACGAAGGATCGCACCGTTCCACACAGTGGGAGGTCGTTCGCTGCTAACTTAGCGACTTGCGTCGACTATCATCGCTCGTAGAACGCTTTGAAGACGAGATACCGCCTCAAAAATACTGTACTTGAATTCAATTCAATCGATTAACTAAGAAACATCCACGATTGCTTGTTTCTAATGGTCTTAACACAGAAATTACACCTTGGGACATTCACTGCGTGCTAGTCAACATGATTTTCCTCTACGTGAGATCCAGTCAATGTCTTCGAGTTCTTGAAAACACAGTACTTTTAAGAATGCACTACACTCATTCAGAAGTCTCACAGTCACGTTCACGTTCTTGTGATAGCGATGTACTCCTGTTTAAGATGTAACTATCCAATGCACGAATTGTTTACCGCATAAAATACCTAAGGCTTGATTATCGTTGTTATTTACAAGAACAATCTTTATCTTCATCACAAACGTTTCATTATAATAGGTCTCTTGATCGCGTCGCTTCTGTCAGATGACTATCAAAACATCAGCCGCAGAGCACATGAAGTACCGGCACTAATGTCACTGACTCAAACAGTCAATCGTCCTGACTGAAGTTCCATCCGAGTTGTCTTTACAGACGACATGTATTCACTTCAAACACTCGGATCAGCAAGAAGTCTTTACGGCAGTATAATTTGCAAGTGTCATTGATGCCAGAGATAAGAGCACTTGCTGATGAACTCATCAACGAACACTATCTCGCCAATATCATCAATGGACGAGATTTCAACTAGCTCAGCCAAGTCACTACACTAATTTACCACTCTTCGTCGTATCTTATTTATTAGATAATCACGTCATCCTAAATAACACGTGCGATGATTAGCGCCGATCTGTCACGACGCAGCGTATCAAATCGGCTGATGACAGTGCGGTTAAAGAGCGCCAATGGCAGTAACTACCTGCGACCTGTCAACAAGATGAGTCAGGTCAACCTGTCGACGCGTCCTTCTCGTTCGGCGTGATCAAAGACACACTTGGACGAGTTTACGCGACGCGCTACGACGGCGGTAGCTACGGCTGCGGCTGCGGCGGCGGCGGCTGGTGGTACAGCGGTCAGATGCTGTCGCGTGCATGTGTGCAGCTACACTAGAGGACTCATGTACGTTCGCTTGGCCGCCTACCGGCCACGGCGAACACGGTCGTAGAACGGAGTAACCAAAAGTGGGGGAGTTGTTAGATCTCAGAGAAGGAAGAGAAGCCGGGAGAGCAACAAGGAAAGAACACCAGCGGCCTCGAGCAACCGAGAGCGGGACAAAGAGAGCCGAGTGTGGAACGAAAAGCGTGGCCGAGTCCAACACAGTCTGCATGATAGCCGAAGTGGGGGCAGTCAACGCGTCGGTGGGGAACGCCGCCTCCAATCGCATGAAAACGTGGATTGCACGCGGCTCCGCCCGGCAAGCCAGAGGCGAGTTCTCCGGCCGCGGAACTCGCGCGAACGCGAGCGCGCCTTTTTCATCTCGCGTACGTCGGCTGCTGTTCGCAAAGTTGAAGAGAGAGAAAGGACAGAGAAAGAAATAAGAGTGAGAGAGAGACAGAGAGAGAAAGAGCAAGCAAACGAATTTGCATATGCAACTCTTACAACCAATCGCCGAGCAACCTGCCCTACCCGTTGGCGATGATGACGATTAGACCTTGATACTTAAAGACCCGTTCCGTGACCAATGCTTAAGAATTAAACTCGGCTGGATTCCGAAGCTGGCCAATCCGGTGGCGAGTTGCACCGGACCGGTTCGATTCGCATGCTTCTTCGCGGTTTTCTCTAATGGGAACCAGACGAGACTGAGGGTAACCAAATGCGCTGAACGTGAAAATGCACCGTATGCGGTATATCCGTTTAAATATCTTGGAAATATCACGTGGACGCACACGATGTACAACCGCAGATAGTGTAAGATAGTGTGGTCAGCGTGTACGTAAAGAAGAGTCGGAGATGGAATTAGTTAGAGAATTCGCAAGAAGCCTCTCACGCTGGACCACCCACGCAAATTCCTGTTCTTTTCGACTACTGTGATTATTCGTCGGAAGTCAAGTGTTTTACAAAGTATTTCGCATGTTTCAAATTAGATATCATAAAATGATCTTTCTCAAAGTAATTAGTTTAATACTTCAAATTCTAAAAATTAGTGCTCGTTAAATTATTTCGCAAATAATTCTATGTGCGTGAATAAATTATTCTTAAGATTCAAGATAAAAAGAATCGATTATTTAATTTCATAATTACTTAACTATATTTAAAAATACATTAAAAACTTGCATGAGCTGATGATAAACGCATTGAAATTTCTTCTTCAGAGATCTTTAAAATTGATATACCCGGGGATTGTGCGCTCGTAGCATTACGGTTCGATTGACATCGGTGAGATAGGTATGGCAGCAGGTGGGTACAGTTACAGGTTGAGATTGCTCAAGAAGGCGATCTGCCAAACAATGTGATTATTGTGCTAGCTTACGGAATGTTCCTGTCACTGACGTATAAGTTCTAGCAAATAAATACATACAAACTTTATATTGAAATCTAAAGTCCGTATTGCCATAATCTCTTTGGATACTTGAAAATAAATAAACCTATAATAGAAATGTGTGATATACTCTACTCTTCAAAATAATATAATATTATAATCGATAATACGCGTACATTATGCTCGAAACAATATCCTTCGAATGATTTACATCTGTCACATTTTCCTGAAAATCAATAACAGGATATTTCAATAGTTTTTTTTTTAACAGATTTAATGCACTTTCCATTTACTTGAAATATTAATTGCAATTATAGAAGCGATAATATTATAAAAATGCGTCGCGGAAATATTGACGAGAATGTGGAACGTTTAATAAACCTTTCTATCGGCCGCCATGTCGACTCGAGGGTACCTCTCACCTATCATATTTCCATACAAATCCATCCAGCCTCACCACTCCCAAGATTTGAATTCAGCATGCGCAGTGCCAGTGCAAAAAATAAGGCGCTTTAAACTGGCCCTTTTATTGGTCGCGAGAACCATAGCACTCCCCTACCCACGCCTATCCCCTTCGCGTTGCACACACATAGGCGTCATTGCCTTTCTTCTTTTTCTTATCGCGCTATCATATTTCCATACAGCCGACATCCACCACTACCGCTATCGTCACTACTACTACATTTCTTCCACCACTACCATTGTCGCTTCACTTCCACCCCTACCTTCCACTCAATACCTAGCTCGCCCAGATTTGAATCCGGCATGCGCAGTCCCGTGCAAAAAGGGCGCTTTAAAGAGGTTCTTATTGGCCATGGGAACGCTATCCCCCACTCTTTATCGCATGTACCTCACATCACAAACGCAGCCTTCCTCTTATCGTGCTATCCTCCCCCTTTGCTCCCCAAAGTTTCGTCTTCCTCGTGCTTTTTCTCTCTCGTTCTTTCGTCCTATTCCCCACCAACGGCTTCGTCCTTCGCTTCGCATGCCAGACCGGATACATAGGAAGGGGCAACCCCTACCTCGATTCCACCCTCGCATTCGTGGTGCAACAAGGACAGTAATGATAAGAGAACAAGGACGACGATAGTGAGGAAAACGAAAGAGAAGGAAGCGGAGAGGAGAGAGCGAGCCGGTATTGATTTTAATGACGCCCCTACCGACACGAAGTCACGAGAGAGGCGCGAATAATATGTACGCGCATTGATTCTAATAGCCAGTTATTATAAATGCGTGCAAACAAAATTTTTCAGAAATTTATGGGTATATGCAGCTTAAAATGTTTAGTTTATATGTGTGTAATTATTAATAATGCTTGGCGAAATGCTAAAACGAAATGCTTGACGAGAAAACTTGCAAGAGCTCCAAGGAAGAAAGAAGAGAATTATTCTCGAAAAATATCTGTAATGTCACAATAATGTCATGTCGACGATATATCTGTCCTATAATGTCGCGTCAATTGTCTTTTATTATTAACATGAATTATTAAAGTACCGTGGCACGCGGTCCGTTCCGGATCGGAAGGATCGCTCCCTGGGTGGAGTTCCGTCTGGCGATGAAGGGTGAAAACACTTGCCGTGTAAAATCAAGAGGATCAAGTGGCATTACCGAAGGGTCGCATTCAAATGCCATAGGCGGGCCCCTAATCTGAATAAGGCAGCGTGAACCCTTTCCCTTTGCTACGAACCCTCTTTTTTATTCATCATGTGCAAGTATTTGCATGACCCATCTACAGACAGCAGGTGTCAAGTTGCCCCTTTTTTATATTCAATACGAAAGTCTATATGGAAATAGATAGGTGGTACCTGTCCAATAATGTGCACTTCACAATGGTGAAGGGTTGATTCTTGCCACCGATTCATCATCGACAGGTGGATGATCCGTATAAACGCTAATTCACAGGTGATTTTTTTTCAAAATCATCAATTTCATATCATTTCTTGTGAATTATTGGATTTTTATTTGAAAATCAATTTATTTTAATATAACATATGTACTTCGTAATCAAAGTACATATATTATAAATTATATTCTCTCTCTCTCTCTCTCTCTCCCCTCACAAAATTGTGTTTATAATTTTTATAACGTAACCTGGCAGATTTGCAAAAAGAGAAATACAATTCACTTGGATTACAGTATAACCGAGTTGTAATTAAATCTAGCATAATCTAGAGACAAGGATGGAAAGTGTATAGAAATATATGCATACATATATTTTATACATGAAAAAATTCACAGAAAAAATATTAGTTGTCACAACCAGAAATAATGATAACTTTCGCTCATCAATGCATTTGGTAATTGTACACTGAAAAAGAAATCTTAATTTCAAAGAAATATCACTTTGTTCATATCAAAAAGAATTATTTCTTTGAAAATAAGATGTATTTGCAAAGAAATAAGATATTGTATTTTTAAAGAAATTTTCATTGATCCAAAGAAATAATTATTTTAATACGAGCAAAGAGATATTTCTTTGAAATTAAGATTTTTTTTCGATGTAATAATCGTAAGATGGAATCGTAAAATATAAGAATCGTATCTTTACACCCATAACCGTTAAGATATACCAATCTTATGGTTATCGCAATCATACTATAGTTCTTATAACCAAAAAATGTATGATGGGCAATTTTTTGGTCGTGACAACCGCGGTCCTATTTTCCATATTGTATTATAAAATCAATATATACCTTTAATATAAATATTTCTTTAATTTCTTT